TTATCATATTTCTCTTGTTAATCGCATTCAATATTTTGAAATGAAAAACGAGGACAGACGTGCACATACTTTATCCCATATTGGTTTCCAAATTGCAGGTTATTGGGCATGTGTGTAACTCCCTCGTTAAGTAATCCATGACAGTCCACACAGGTATGACAAACTAGAGATGCCTCTGTGGACCTCTATGAGTTTTTAGTTCATGAGAACCATTTTTCTTTTTTCCTCAGCTAGTGTAGAAAAGTATTTAATAATATACAAATGGTGAAGAGTAATGAGACAGGATTCATTAGGTACATAATTTGTTTCAACCATTGGTTACATCATTGGTTACATCACTGCCTCTGCAGATTGCCCCTTTAAAATTCTACAAATAATGTCTAGAAAATATTTTCCAACGATTTTTTCAGATACATATTTGAGCAACTTCCCTTAAAGTTTACTTCTTTACAAACTTCCTAATTTAAATTGTTAAATAAAATTTCTCAAATTTTCTTCCAAGTGTGATTACACTATTTTCTAGTACATAAACAAATATCACGGGCCAGCATGTCTCATTGGCATCCACATTCAGTGCCCCAAATTAGAACCAAGTCATTGTTTAGTCTTCTAGAACGCTGGATTTGAGTCCCTACGTCACCATTTACTTGTTCTGTGATCTGAGAGAAACAAGTCAAAATGGTCGTTTTCTCATTTGTGAAATAGGATCAACAATACCAACCCACCTAGGGGTAAGGAGGCTTAAGTAAGACGTACATAAAGCATCAGTATATTGTAGGCACCCAATAAATGACAGCTACCCACATGGTGAGTTCTTGCACTGCTTTTTTTTGACCTAGGTAATCATTATGTGGGCATTTAATAATTATCAGACTTTATATATGGACTTCTGCAATTATAGTTCACAAAAAGTTAAGAAATGGTAGCCATTTTTGGTGTTATCTAAATGTTAATTTACGTGATGGTCCCTTAAGCCTGATCTGAGTCCCTACTAATTGCAAATTCTAATATGGCATTTTACTTTAAAACAGATTAACTCCATTTAGTAAATTGGTAACTTTCTGCCTTACATCACTCTAATACCAGTTGCAGAAGGAAGCTGGCATCTACACCAGGCCTCATAGTTGCTAAACCCCCTTCTGTCCAGTCCAACGAGGTGCCAAGGAATTGAGAAAGGAAGGTAGAGGAACTCATCGACGCGGTGTGGCTGCCCTCTTTCAAAGTAGGTCTGCTCCTCGCTGTTTTACACACAGGGCTCCATTTTTCTTTGAAGAAATATGACTAAAAAAAAGTTTGAAAACCACTGATCACATATTCAGAGTTCGGGTTTTATCATTTCCATGTCTGAGCCCTGGTAAACTGACAAACATGAGAACAGTCATAAGGAAAACACTAGGTGATTATCCTTTTGTGCATTTGTCTTCACACTCCTTTTCAAGTTTTATGTACATTATGCATAATACTTCCACTTCATACAGTTTTAGAACTCCATATACTCACTGTTTATGCTGTTTTGTTGTTCCTAATGACTTCCAAGGAGGATTCTGATTCTACTCATGAGTTTCAAGACCACAAATAGTGTTTGTTTGCTTTAAGGACTGGCACATGAAATCTCTAGCTTTTACTAAAAAGAATATCCTGTATCTAACCCTTCCTGTTTAGTATTACCTTTTCCCTCCCTTCCAAGTTAGTCAATTTTGTTTGGGACCTTGTCCACTAACTACACTACTTTTCTTGCTGTATAAACCACAAAGGAACAGATAAAAGAGAACTTTAAAAATTAGGATTTTTAGATAATGACCTTCCTTCAGTAGTCTTTCTAAGGAACAGAATAGAAAAGTGGATAGAGCAAAGCTGGTAATAAGGGAAGAAAAGGAAAAAGGAATGTTCTAGCTGCATAGCAACTAAGCTACATTCACTGATCTATTAATTTTTTTTTTGCAGAGAGGGAGTAGGAACATTAATGGCTGACAACCCTTAATTTATCCGTTTTTGTTTAAACGGTAGAAAGCTACAAAGAATTTCTTTAATCATCAACCACACAAATTTTTTTTTTAAAGTCATGCTTAAAGAGATACCCATAGATTTGCCAGTGTCTAGGCAGTGAGTCGATATAGGGCTTCAGCACCATTTTTTAAGACAAAGCCTACAAATTCCCCTTCAACTAGTAATGACACAAATTTAAGACTGACCTGGTTCCCAGTTGCTGCTTGCTTTGGTTACCTCCTCACTGCCATCGCTCAGGAATCCAAAGAGGAAGGAGAAATCCGTACCAAGAACAGCTGTACTTGGCAGGGAAAATGATGTATTTTTTTTTTTAACCTAATTTAAATTTTACCTTTTTACCTAATTTAAAATGGAGCATATGCTTTTGATAACACATACCAAAAGCCTTGGAATTATACATATCCTCATGACAATTATCCCAGCCAATGGCAGCAGCAGCAGGCCCCAAAAATTCGGGTTAAAAACTCATAACAATACCATTCTTTAAAGTCAACTCTCTAACTTCACCGTTAAAAAAAAAAAAATTCTGGATTTTAGCACCATCGAGAAAAATTAGTTTCAGGTCATCATCTCACCTCATTGATTTAGAAGAAAAATCAGTATTTCCTCTCTCAATATCCTATTCAGTAAACTTGATTTCAAATGATTTTAACAAACTTCAACTGCACCCATATGGGATAATTCCCTAGTCAAGAATATTCAAGACGTGCAAATACTAAGGAGAAGCAGCACAAACATTAGATATCCTTATGTGACTCAGTTCAAGGAAATGAGCCTTTGGAACGATGTGGTCACTTAAAACTCGTAGGAAACCAGTCTGAGGGGGATTTTCAGAAATGTTATCATTTAGAGAAGTGAGAAAGGTGATAAGCAATAAAAGAGAGTAAGAGTTTGGACTCGGGAGTCAGATATGGGCTTGAATTTGATCTTTGATCAAATTACTTATTCAGTTTCTTCATCTGAAAAATGGACCAAACGACAATAGTTACTCATCAGGCTCTGAGAAAATGAGAATACATATATAAGCAATTCCTCAACTGTGGTATGTACTTTGCATGTATTATCTTGTTTGGTCCTCACAGCTGAGGCAGCTCTTCTATTTTACAGATAAAGGGTTAAATGCCTACTTAAAGAGGAAGAGCCAAGATTCTATCTCAAGATTCCAAAGCTTGTTTTCTTCTGCACGACACTATTTTGAAGAATTGTAAAATATGCATTTCTCTTAAATCAAGGGTTCTTTTAATTCTGATTATAAGCTTTTAATAGCTATAGAAAACGTTTATTAATTAGATGTTTGATTTTACATTAAGCAGCTTCCTGCAATTCTACCATATAAGAAGTTTAGTGTAATTTAAAATACTTTCAGTAACTTTTATATTAACTTGAAATTTAGGAAATTTAGCCAATTCAGGAAATTACTAAACCACCTAATTAGATACATTACAGAAATTTATTCTTACTTTTCTTGCAATCATTGTCCCACAAAATACACATTCCAAGGCTGAGGAAACTGAGGTAATTAAAACTGCTTTCACAACACTCATGTTATTTCTCCTCATAATACATTATATAAAGGCAACCCATTTACATAATATGGACTTTAAACTTTGGTATCCAATTTAACATGCTCAAAAATAAACATTTTTAAAAGTTACCTAGTGAAATAAAAACAATTGATTATTTCAAGTATATAAAGTATCTCCTATTATGTCTAGAACATAAAATAGAAATAACTTCATGACTTAAATTTTACTACTTATGTCCAATTTTCCTACTCCAATACAACTGCCACATGCAAGGCCATTTCCTGGTTTTTCTCAGTACATTATCACCATCACTGCTCAAAGTGCAGCAACTAGAACCAGAAAAAGGCCACAAAGAATAATACAGTCTGAATCACCTAAGACACAGAGGCAGAATTTCATTTCTTAACCAACAAATGTAATTCAACTGAACAGGCTCATTAAAGAGCTGAGCTTGGCTTCTCTTATTCTGCCCAGTGTTCTTCTATGAGGTTTTGTAAACAAAAAACCCACCCAGTTCTAGATTTGCAAACTGTTAACTTGTCTACCCATAAAAAGCTGTGTATCAGCTATGAAAAATTACCTAGTTGCAATTTACAACGACTAGTGACAGGTGACAGGAATTCGCAGGAAGCCTATTCACAGGAATTGGTTCTGACTATGGGGGGGCGGGGGGAAAAAAACACAACTTCTTGAAAAGGTAAAATAGCTTAAAGCATTTAATATCTAAACAAATCAATCTGTTAATAGTAGTAGTCACAAAATATGCTTAATATAGAAACCCACATTTACGTCTTTAAGAAAAAGTGTAAATTGTACTTTACCTCAAAACATAAATTAACCCACTTAAAGAATCTGCAGAGGTCAAAATCATAGTGAATTTCAAACAACTTCAGAATAAAATAACCTTAAGTATTTAACACTGCTTTACATCTAAAAAATGCTTACAGCTTCTCATAAAAATTGTCTGAGGCAACTATTTTCTCTTTTATTCTTTAACAGACATGTTCAACATTATAGGCAACATTCTTAAAACCTTAAGCTCCACAGACTTTCAGACAAGTACTATGGTCCCCTTTTCTCTGATGTGAAGGTTTATTCAGCTAGAAAAAAAAAGCATGGTAGACAACTTAATACATTTTCACCAAATTCCAAGTAGTACAAAAATTTTAAGACTACAGAACTAAACATCGTACCTAATGTGTCATTAAAAATAGAAGACAGTATTTTTTTCAGCAAATAAAACAGCATACTGGTATGCTGCTAATGCATAAACGTTTTAATGTATACTGTCATTCACAAATTATTTACAATTTCCACTGTGTGAAGAGAACTAGAATGTAAATTTTCTGCAAAACTGGAAAAAAGCAATACAAAATTTGTGAAAGCCTGTGTTTCATATTATACAAAAGTAAGCCAGTTTTTCTCTTCAAATACCAGATATTGTACACAGTGACATTTTGGACATTATTACAGTAATTCTTGAGGATGTTTTAATGCTGGAGGCAAGTTTACAGGCCTTGACTCTTCATCGAGGAGTACTAAGTCTTCGATTTCACTGCCTCTGTATTTTCTTTTACATATTTTAACCACCACCTTTTTCTTGAGAAATAACTTCAAGGCTTCTCTTGATGCAACTGCTTTTGCATTTTCTTTGCTTTTTCCACAGCCAGTGCCCAAATACACAGACTTACATCTCAGTTCACAAACAATACTTTCTTGAGAGCTCTTGTTTTGAGGCAGATCTGCCAGTTCCTTTAGCGGGACGAAAACCACATCCAGCGTTGCTTTCAGAGCCTCGACAGCTGCGTTTAGGAGCTCTCCGTGATTCACGCTGGGACTAAAGCCACCAACGGCCACCAACTTCCATGCCACCGTTTTGTACAGTCTATTGAAAAAAGGCTGCTTCTGTTTCACATCTTCATTGGTTAACTTGCAACAAGAGAATCTGACAGAACTCTCGCTCGCCTGCGCAGTACTTTTAGAAGGCAGCTGTGACTGTGACGTGCTGCTCTGAGAGCTACTCTTAGAAGCCAGCTGGGACACACTTGCTATGGAAGTGCTTTTGGAAACCAGAGAGCCGCTGGTCTGGGAGCTGTTCTTGGAAGCTAAGAGCGATGCAGCTACCTGCGAAGTGCTTTTGGAAGTCAGCATCGTGTTTGCTGAGGTGGTGCTCTTGGGGGTTAGTAAAGATGTGCCTGATGAGGAACTGTTTTTAGAAACTGATGATGAAACACTTGCATCTGAACTAGCTTTGGAAGATAACCCGCTTGAAGCTGTCTCTGAACTAGGTTTAGAAGACAACAGTGGCAACTCTATTTCTGAGCTTCCTGAGGAGCCCAACAAGGGCACCTCAATCTCTGAGATGCTCTGAGAGGCTGAGACTGAAGAGCCTTCCAAAGCACTCTTTTTCGGGGATCCACTTTGTTGTCTGGAATCAGCGGACTGGGTCACATGACTATTCACACTGGATTTCAACAACGAAGAAACAAACGACGCTGAACCATGTTTATCTGGAGCTTCTGGTTCACACCCTACCGCTGTTACCTGAGAGGGAATGCTGCTGCTGCTTTGCCTGGAAACAGAGCGCTCTCCATCACTTGTGGAGCTATTCTGACTCAGGGTGCCAGAGCTCCGAGCTGAGTTCCCACTACTCTCTGACTTGGTAGTTGTCCCGAACAC